AATTTGATACTATTATCGATTTATTTTTTTACAAATTTTTATGCTATCTTCAAATTTATATTTTAATTCAAAAATAAAAACATTATCGTTTTCTCAAAATCACATAAGATCGTATTATATCGATAGAGACAAAGAATAAAAACTAAACATTAAAATCGAGATTTATCTCGCTGTATTGCGTAAGTATCCTTCTAGTTTTGCTTAAAATATGAAAGTCCTAAGAGTCTTTTCAGACTTTCCCATTCTTTTATAACATCAACATGTTATATAAGTTAAAAAGATATATCTGATCATTTTTAGAAAGTTCAAAAATTTATTTTTTCAAACGAATCATTTAAAGATTTACTTAAAAGTGAAAACTTTGTTGTTTTTTATTTTTCACACACACATACACACACATATCTATACTATATTATAAAACATTTGACAAAAACTCTTAAAAGTCATTCTTTATGCATAAAATACTATTTATCAATGCATATTACTTAAAATTTAAGATTACAAGTAAATTATGCGTAGGTACAACTTATTAAATCTCTATTTTTGAATTCGTAAAACTAACTATAGATGAACATAATCAAGTACAGAATAAACACAATTAAATATAGAATAAACATCTCATTTTAAATAAAAAAATCTAAAATATAATTAGGATATCATTGAGTTCTAACAGAATTATTATATTTATAAAAATTATATTGTTAAGTCAAAAATAAATTACTTCGTTATTAAACCTAAATTAAATTATAATAAAAGGTTGAATTAAAGAAATTGTATAAGAAAATATATTAATATCGATATATTTTTCTCAATTTTTTATGATACCTTCACATTTATTTTTATTTAAAAGTAAAAACAATATCTTTCTTAAAACCACATAAACTGTATTATATTAATAGAGATAAAAAATAAAACGAAATACTAAAATGAAGATGTATTTCGCTGCATTGTGCGAGTACCCTTCTAGTATATATATATAGGTGAATAATCTTGTGAGAAACGTAAGAAAAAATCTAAACCCTTTAATTTTTTGTTCACCCATTAATTATGTTTTAGAAGAAAATTGATCATGTACATCTTAATGCACCTCATTAATGTTAGACATTCATGTGGAGATTTCTTTTTAATATAAAAAAGAAAAACGATTTCAAATTTGAAAATAAAGAAAAATAAAAAAGGTACGGTAACTGAGGCTGCTGGCATTAATTTAAAAATAAAAAATAAAAATAAAATAAAAAGGCCAATAACAGAGACACACTATCAAACGTGACGGCCATCCATTTGCAACCATTTTCAATTTTAAACAATTCTCGTGTTTCCATAAATTATTATAATTTAAAATCTACTTCTTATTTTATTAATTTAAAAAAACTATTTACATTTTTATATTCTTTATGTTTTATTTTTATTTTCATTATACATTTAAATTTTAATCTTATATTATTCTGTTTTTTCAAGTAAAATAATAAAATCATTAATAATTTTATTAAAGAGGAATTGTTTAAATTCCCAAGTACTTTGGAAACATAAGCATTATCTTATATGAAAAGAAAAAAAAATATTAATATTAACAATTTATTTTAAAGAGAGTTAACTTTTGAATAACTTCCGATTTAATCTAAGTGCTCATTTACCTAAATGCTTATCCGGTAAGTGTTTACGATAGGAGTTAACATTATAATTTATTTTGATGCGTAATATTTTAGCATATCAAAACATGTTGAATACAACAATTTACTGGGTATGAGTCGTCATCCTCACTTACAGGATAAGACTCTCCATCATTCTCATCGTTCTTACCCGGTAAGATTCTTGACCCTTCTCATGTTCATCCGATTAGGAAATTTATGCGTTAAACGACCCCTAAATATTTAAGTATATAAAACGAGCTTCATTTTTTGATTCTTGTGTTTGAATAAAATAGATTGCATAAAAAATACAATCATTTTATTCTTTTAGATCAGTTTTTTCATGATTCTATGTTCTGGTGCTTCATTTTTTGACATAATTTAAGGAAATTAATTGATTTGATTGTTTTGAGTTAGCTTCATGTTCGATCAATTTCTGGTTTTCGTGTTCAGCTTCTGTGTTGAAAACCTAGTACGTTATAAATGCATTTATCATGGGAAAGGTTCTTTCTTTTAGTTAAACTGCAATAAAAGGTTAGAAGATACAGTGTGCACACTTATCTAAGCTAACTTGAACCCAGGATTACTAGATGTCAGTGTATCGCATAAGTCAATAAGTTGTGCCCCCCTTGCAGGGTCTAGGGGTAACGCTAATAGGCAGGGTTAGGGGCAGATCCCCTTGCGGTATGTATGAGATGTTGAATTATTTTGGCATCAGTGATTAGTTTAGTGTTTGGAATTAGTGCTTAGTTTCAGCGTTTGGCGTCAATGCCTAACTTCAAGATATGTATTTAGCGGCACTAATGTTGATCAGTGAGCGAGTGCCATTAGTGATATAAATCACTGAAGTTGTTAGTGAGTGTTCACCACTGATATTAATTGCTATTAACTACCCAGTAAGTCTCGGTAACCTTCGACAACTGTCTACCTTTATAAGGTGTATTCATTCTCGTTCTGATATACGATATGAAGGGATATCTAAGTTTTTTTATCTCGATTTTCTGCCTAAATACATGAATATGAATCTAATTTTTTTTTTCCGAGTAAAATTCGTATAACCCAAAACAAATACATAGTTGATATGTTACTTACAACAAGCAATTTCTTACATGATCTAAGATTCATGTACAAGTATATCTGTCACTGATTTCTCATACAACCTAATATCAGTTTTCTAACATGTTGAGGGCCAACCCCCTTCCGACTCCTTATTCAGTTATATTTCATCATTTTAATCCATTGGTTGAGTTGTTTTTTTCATCAATTTTATCAGCATCAAAGGTTAGTTTCAATGACCAAATTCAATTTTTACCATACCCGATTTCTTCCTTAGCAGTCAATACAGACCATTTATTCAATTTTCAAGTGTAGTAACTCATTAATATCATTTTTTTTTATTAACCTGGATATCCAACCCATTATGCGAGCCGATTAATCCCAGAGCAACCACTTGTTTTGCAGATAGCTCAGAGTCACCGTATTTAAACTTCTGTAGCCACAAGGGGATTTTGGATTTGAACATGGGACCTCCTGGTACTTTTGACCTTTGGAGCCAAGCTCAAACCAATCACGCACCACCCTTTTGGTTCATTAATATCTTTTAGTTCACCATATTTAGATTAGTGATTAGTTTGGGTTCATGGATTCAACTTAATTCTCTTTTTTGTGATTTGCATCATCAATGATGTTATTGATGTTGCACAAGTACACAAAGGGTTTTTACATACTAACGGTTCAGTAGCTTTGCTAAGTTGTTTTTGATAATAAGGGTAAATGTCTCAATAGTTATGTGATTGTGGTGCGATGCTGTTGCAGATTTTGTTGTGGAGCTAGGTTTTCACTAACTGGTTTTACTCACTCGGTGGGTGATTTTTAGTCTTGTCGATTTAATTATACAGTATTTAATATTACTTGTGAATTACATCCATTATGGCTGATTTAATTTTAGTTGTTAGAACCATAATTATATTATTCGTATGTAATTCTTTTATTTGATAAAAGATTGACTTTTTAAAGAAATCATTGATTTTTCTTTGGAAAATTCATTCATGCCATTTATACATAAAAGAATAATTCAATAAAAAGATTGACTTTTCTAAATAATAATTAATTTGTCATTGGAAAATTTATTAAATTCCATTTACCCATATTCATTTATTCATAAAACAAATAATTTAATAGGGATAGAAGGACATTTGAGTAATTTCAATCCATTGCTTGATTTCAATTCTATTGTTTGTGCCCTTGAGGGGCATATATGTAAATTGTCATGATAAAAAAAATCCCGATAAATGGTGTTTAGGTGATTTTATTGATCATTTATTTGTTGTCATGGTTAAAACAACATTTGAATCTAATTACGTTATATATACACAATGTAAGGATATTTACGTAATTTGACAAGGGAAGAACCTTGTTGGTTGCTAAACAACTACACTATTTGATTAAATAGGTGTAATTTAATTAACAAGTAACAATTTGAAATATAATTCTATGAATGAAATATGGTGTTTAATTAAAAGGGAATGTGGTAACCCATTCATTTTCTTTGGTTGGTACAAGACATAGACAGGATTGGTTGATTCCAATTCCATTGCCTCCTCTTTTCTTTCATTTTCATGCAACCAATTCCAATTCCAATTCATTTTGACTTGGTATAACACCGGAATGGTTGATTCCGATTCCAATTCCATTGCCCATCCTTCAATGTAAATGGGTAGAATCAGACAAGGGTATTTAAGTCTTAACACCCATAACTGATAATGGTGTCCAGTCTGTTTCCTTGACTAAATTTACTCACTCCAATAAGAATCATTTCTTTTATCAAGAAAAACTCACAAAACTCAAGACACCACATTTCCCAAATCAAGATTTACCCAAAAATCTTGATTTTAATTTACTTAAATCTTTAATTTAAGGGTTTGGTTCATTAATTACAAGTTCATTTGAAACTGAATTGTATGAGAAATGTAGGAAATGTGTTTTTTTTTAAGAAATGTGGAGGTGAGGAATGTGTCCAGTCTGTTCATTTGACCTTCCAATCCATCCATTAGTTAATTCCATGGTAGAATTAAGCTTTTTTGCTTTCTTTAATCTTACCCATTACTTGTCTCCTGAATCATAATTATTTCCACAACTTTTTCTGATTTAAAGCTAAATGCTTTTTGACTAACAAAGGATTTGAGCAGTAATTGTATGTAATTATCAGTTACAGTCACCCCAAAGCTTCAAAAAAATTAAAGAATTTGCATATCTCATTTCATGCTTGTGTTTTACTACTATTTCTTCCTTTCTTTCTAGATATCACCTACTACTGATGAGTCCATGCCTCCTTATTATCTTCCCCCACCACTCATATTCACAGAATTCCATGTGACTAGTTGTGTTTTTCTCTGCAACAATTCCCTTCAACTTCAAAAAACCCCCTCTTTTTCATCCTTCATTCTCCTCCAATTTAAGGGATCTGTTGAGTTTCTTCATACAGATGCATATACATGATACAAATACATTCCCCTTTTGTTTTTGAGCAATAAAAGTCTCACACATTTGAGTTTCTGGTATGGCTTCCTTCCCATTTGGCTTCTTCTGTAAGAGATCTAGGGCTTAGACTCTTGTTCATTGTGTTTGGAGATTAAGCAACAACAACAACAGCTGCTGCCTCTTTTCATCTTCAGACATTCAGGTAAAATCTGCAATTAATGTTCTTGACCCTTTCAGATTCTTGATATTATTATGCTTCAGTTTCTATCTTTATTATACCTTGAAAGATCTAAAAATTTCATGACAGTGTGAACACAAAACAATTGAATTTGCTTTTAACAGATGGAAATTCAAACTGATACCTGTCTTCACAGGGCGATTGGATATACATTGTTTGAGATTTACCCAAATCAGAACCGATACTTGTGTTCTTCCACCTTTGCTAGAGTAATTTGGCATAGAAAAAGCCTGGAATTTACAATCATATTCAAGTTTCCTAATTTCAGTTTCTGATTTTCCTAAATTATCCATCTTTTTTTTGAAAGATTGGGTGAATTATCATCTGGGTTGTTTCTATTTAATCATATCTTCAAATTTGTTCAAGATTTTAAGGTGGACCTTTTTTTGGATCAGATTACTATATAGTTAGTCATATGTACATACATATGTTTGTGCTATCTCTTTATGACAAGATTTAATTGTTTGATGTGTGTATCTTGTATATGAGTTTATGTTTCAAAGCAGCACTGACCATGGTTTTGTTTTATCGTCTAATTTACTTCGTGCTACTTGCATTCTTGTTAATGTTTCTTGTACATTGAGTTATGGTTCCATTTTCCTTACAAGTTCATAAAGGATTGGAACTAAGGTTGATTGCCAAACTAGAATTTGGGTTTCAATCGAACTTTTTAGAGAAAAGGTATCTATATCCTCACATTTTCTCCAATTTTAAATTTGCAGGGTGTATATATATAATCGCAAATGGGTCTCAAGAAAGAAATGACTGAAGATATTCCAGCTTTAAATCTCCAAGTTTGGCACCTTATAGCAATATTTGTGGCAGTATCCATCGTTGTCGTCCTTTTGTTGCTTTGGTGCTATACCTTCTCAAGAAAGAAATCTAAGAGGGTAAATGGCAGACTTCCGGTTAGCCAAAAACCAACTGTGGTGTCAGCAGAGATCAAAGACATACGAGTTGACCAAAATTCAGCTAATACATTTATAGGCCAAGATGCAAATTCTCACACCCTATGGGACAAGTTCAGTGACAAAGATAAAGACTCAGACAAGCTCTTAACACGTCCAAGTGTCGATAAGAATAAATTGGGTGACAATAGCAGTCAATCGGGATCTTTTAATCATTTGGATAAAGAAGATGTGGGCCCTGACTCTGGCGAAAAGGGAACGTCTGATATATATAGATCTTCTTCACATCCTATGACCGGTACTTCCCCTTTATCTGGTTTACCCGAGTTCTCTCACCTTGGTTGGGGTCATTGGTTTACATTGAGGGATCTGGAGGTTGCAACAAATCGGTTTTCAAAGGATAACGTCGTTGGTGAGGGTGGCTATGGGGTCGTATATCGTGGCCATCTTGTTAATGGCTCTCCTGTGGCTGTCAAGAAGATTCTCAACAATGTGTAAGTTCCTTTGAAGGCCTTTTTGAGTCCCACACTATCTGATTTCTCAATTCATCACTCGTTGATTATGTGAGTTTCTTAACATGAGGTTTATCTTTCTAATGCTTGGATTGTAGAGGACAAGCTGAAAAGGAGTTTCGAGTTGAAGTTGAAGCAATTGGTCATGTGCGCCATAAAAATTTAGTTAGGCTCCTTGGATATTGCATTGAAGGAACCCATAGGTATTTACTTTCCTTGAATCTTTCTAAAATATTGAGCATATAGTTCTATATTTGGATGACCTTGGTGCATCAAGGCTCTTCAACTTTGCAAACCATGGGAATATTTTTGTAACTCCAATCTTTATCCTTTTGATCATAAAGGAGTACCCTTATGAGTTGTTCACCCCTTTTTGTGTGCTAAAAGAAATTGAATCTAACAAATGAATGATAAAAGGTACTTACTTGCTCACCTTGTTTCAAATATGAAAATTCGTAGATAGCACATTAGTTTGAAGAAAGGGTAATTTTGTTGATGTGAACTTGAACGTTACTTAACCACAAGGGTTGTGGCGTAGTGGTTGAGGCCTTGGTGGATGTGGTGGAATATCCCATCTGCTTAGGGTTCGATTCCAAGCCTACACGACAATTGTGGCCACTGAGTTTATCAGGGCTGATTCCTTGCAGTCACAATTTGCCGGATTAGTCCAGGCATAGTCTGGGACACTCTTCCAAAAAAAACCTTGAATGTTACTTGTGTCTAAATCTATCTTTTTTTCATGAAACTTTAGGTTGTTGGTTTACGAGTATGTGAACAATGGTAATTTAGAGCAATGGCTTCATGGAGCTATGCGTCAGCATGGATATCTTACTTGGGAGGCTCGCATGAAAGTCATCCTTGGTACTGCAAAGGCGTAAGTCCTTTTCCAGGATCCCTTCAGAAATAACTGAAACTGTTTGTTTCATCAAACCTTTCATAACGTGATGTTTATTTGCAGGTTGTCGTACTTGCATGAGGCCATTGAGCCAAAAGTGGTGCACCGAGATATCAAGTCGAGCAATATATTACTAGATGATGAGTTCAATGCTAAGTTGTCTGATTTTGGACTTGCCAAGTTATTGGGTGCTGGAAAAAGTCATATCACTACCAGAGTGATGGGTACCTTCGGGTAAGCTGTCTGATTTTGGACTTAACATCCCATAAGCAAATAATTTTAAAAAAATGAATATATATTTGAAAATCATGAGTCCTGGTACTTCTTATTGTGTTTGCTGTTATGTTTCTGGTAATGGTTCAGTGTTGTTGGTTTTGGTTAAAATGTCAAATGAACACAGTTCTAGTTTCTGTGGATGAAATTGGATATCTTGTTAAATATATTTTATATTATTTTAGTAAATAACTCAATCTGCTGTTTGGCAGTTGCTGAATGATTTGGTGCAGAATGATTAAGTGGTCAGAATGATTAAGAGGCTTTCATGATATAGTGAAAAATGAAATATAATTGTTTGGTAATTGTTTATAATGAAATTATGGCGCTTAATGGTTAAGGGAGACCCATGATACAAAACCATTCAGAGGATTTTAGAACCATTAAGAGGCATACTTTTTTTTTGCCAAACAAGATTTACCTCTTAATGATTTAGAGTTTGCCTCTTAATGGAATTATTAAGAGGTAAACAAACAACCCCATTTTGACTAGTTTTGATGTTGTACAGATATGTAGCACCAGAATATGCAAATAGTGGGCTTCTGAATGAGAAGAGTGATGTTTATAGTTTTGGAGTTTTGCTGTTGGAAGCAATCACAGGAAGAGATCCGGTAGATTATGGTCGTCCAGCAGACGAGGTATGTACTCCAAATGAGAAAACATCTAGAGATAGTTTTGTTATGGAGTTTAATGTGTTCTGTTGGAATAGGTGAACCTGGTGGATTGGCTGAAAATGATGGTTGGAAACAGACGATCAGAAGAGGTTGTTGACCCTAACATTGGTAGCAGACCATCCAGAACAGCACTTAAACGGGCTCTTTTGACGGCTTTGAGATGTGTTGACCCTGATTCCGAGAAAAGACTTACAATGGGTGAAGTCGTGCGCATGCTTGAGTCTGAGGAGTATCCGTTAACACGAGAGGTTTGTCTTTGAACCTGTTTGAAAAAAGGTAGTTTCTTTTTTCTTTTTCCATTTGTTGGTACTGAAAAGTGGTTGGATTACAGGGTCGAAGACGACGTAGGAGTCAAGCAAATGCCACAGAACCGGATTCTCAGACTGAGAACTCTGATGCAGAGAAGGGTACCAAATGAAAATTGAAGCCGTTATTACAATGTAGAAAACGGGATCATCCATTGAAATCTCGAAGCTCGTAGAAGATGATGCTAATACGAAACACATGTTTTTGTTTTTTGTTTTTTTATGTGTCCTTTTTACATGTAGATGTTGGAGATATTGTTTTGTGCATGAAAAAAAATCAGATTAATGGTGTGTACAGTTTCTTTATATGGGTGTGATCAATACTAGATTGGCATGACCATAGTTTTTTTTTCTGTAGTAATGGATTCCCTTTTCTTTTCCTTTGCTTTACTTTATACAACCATGATATTTACTTGTATTATTGTTATATGCTTACAACATTCAAATGCCTTTTCAAGATTTCAAGATTTCAAGATCTGCCAAGCTCTGAAAAAGGGATTTTGGTTGTTTGTTTTCGAGAAATTTACAAAAATAGCCAATTTACCGACTCTTTTCATTATATAGCCAGAACCCAACTTCATTAAATATTCAATGCTTACGTAAAAAGCTTATGCATACGTGTAATGATTGGTTTTCGAGCAAAAAAAAGAAAAAAAATCATTTCGCAGAAAGTGGTTTTTACGCAAGGATTCTTATTATTTGGGTTAGAAAATGACTAAAAAGTGAAACCACCTATCAGTTTTTGACTATTTATGTGAAATTTGCTTTCTTTTTCACTTGCAGTGCCTTTGCAGCAAAGCAATAAAGGCAAACCACCAGTAGAAGCAAAGTAGTTGCAATTGGTTTGATAATGAAGCATGGTTTTGGTTGTGTGATGTTACTTTTCAAGATTGACAGCAACCAACCAGACTCATCTGTTTTCAACAAAAAAAAGAACATTTGGTAAATAAGACAAATGAATGCATCAACAAGCAGTGCAGTGAAGAGTATGCTTTGCCAAAACCACATTTCCAGAAAGCAAATGAACTTGTTTATCATAGAGTTTGTTTGGTGAAAGCGAGCCACACCTAATCCCTTCCATATTTACGACAAATTACAAAGAAAGAACAAACACCTTTTTCAAACAAAAGAATATGTAAAATGATTGATTTTACACAACATAAATATCTGCTAAACAATGACATGATGATTAAGCAGAGGTAAAGGGTCCAGCCAGCCCTAGAGATTGAGATTCATTTCACAAATGTGGTGCTTCAGTTTGGGGTCCAGCACGAGCATTCAACAACGGCTGCAGTGCTTTAACGACAATGCTCATGTTTGGCCTGAAATCTGCTTCATATTGCACACACAAGGCTGCAACCGCCGCCATCTATCAACACACACAATCCATGGATATCAGTTTCATAAGCTAAAAAGAATTACATGTTCTTTATAGGTAATATGCTCAAAATTTAAAGAATACAACATCTATGAAGCATTAAGTACAAATCACGAATGCATTGAGAGTTGTGAACAATAGGTGGATGGTTTTAAAAAAGCCCATCTCACCATCGACCCCCTTCCCCACAAAAATCAAAACGATATAGCATATTTAGTGGTTTACATACAGATGTATACGATTACAAATGATTGTAATTTCTATCTTGTTCAAACATAAATTTCTGATTTTCTTTTTTAACGAGGAATTGCATTAATTTTCCATTCTTGTTTTACAGTAAAATTTTACACCCAGCTGCTTACATGGCTAACATATTTTAATTTATGAATTATGCAACAACTTATTTCTTTAACAATTCACTTTTGGATGCACACACACATATAAATCGCAAGCTCATATCCCAAGTGTTTTACACTCGATGGATCCAACATCCTGCATTTAATCACATATTGTTGTTTTCCCTTGCAATATATATATATATATACACACACACACACACAAACATAAACTAAGCACACGAAAGTTTAATCTGGAATACCTTGGCAACTGCCTTGGGCGGGTATTCCCCATTCAGTCTAATATCAACACACTGTTTCACCTTATCTTCACTGAGTTTTGGTGTTGCCTGACATAATATAATATTTACAAATAGTTTATATTTAAAGGAAACTCAAAAAGAAGCACAAAGGGAGTACCCCATATAAGGGTTAAAGAATAAGTATGTGTAGCATACCCATGTGACCAGGCTCTGCTGACCACGAGGCAAAGTGTGGTCAACCGGCTTCCGGCCTGTCAAGAGTTCTAGGAGAACCACTCCAAAGCTGTAAACATCACTCTTTGAACTCAACTGTCCAGTCATAGCATATCTGCCGAAGAAAGTCAAAGAAAGCACAATGAATAACCGAACTTTTTTCTTCTATTAAAATCCATATTCTCATAAAGATAGTTGTGGGAAACAAAATCAAACACAGAATTTATGTGGTTCAACAATTTGCTTGTATCCATTATCAAGAGAATTTCCATGGCACAAAGAGCAACACATTTCAAACATGGCACCTTACCTCATAGGATTTTGCCATGAAGCCAAGGTGCTGCGATTTCATCGCATCAGAGTGGCACATTGACACAACTTCAGAGTTTTGGTTTATGTCTAGATTTACTATAGAACAAGACCATACTTCCTTTTATTAAACCAATACAATTACAATCCCATAAAAGAAAAAAACATAAGTCTCATCATGAACAAAACCAAACTGCTAACTCTTCAACATCCTTCTCTTCTCGACAAGTTTCAACATTTATTTTCGAGCAGCTCTCACACCTCTTTTTTGCAAATACTTTTTTGTGCCTATGCCTATCTTCAGATTTTTTATGTAAGATCTTTTCTTGTAGCCAATAAGCTTTCTCTAACTGTAAATGGTACTTTTCACTTGGTTATTCATCTAGGCACCAGTTTTCTTTAACATTAAACTAATAAAACTAGATGGGTAATGATCATTTTTATTTATCGACTACTTTTCATTTACCAATGATTTTTCAATTGCAAAAAACCAAGCCTTTTATTTATTAAATTAGCCATTGTTTTATGAATTTTGATGTTTAAAGTACTAGCTTAAAAAAATTTAAATCTAAAATACAACTTCATAAAAGATTTATTATCATATACTTCAGTTTTTTTCACCATGAGACATGTGTCATGGAGTTTAACCGACTCATATGAAGGTTACAGGATATTACGCACAGGGATTAGCATGATGGTATGTTATTCTAGTATCCCCTCAATCTTTCTAGGGTTTCATGTATTTTAGAATACTCCTTGTGAATATCTAAATAGAATTATCTAGAGATGTAATCTTGTTCATCCATGTAATTCAATCATGGCCATCAACTTAAGAATGGGAGGCCTTTACAAAGGGAGGAGCCTCATTTGATCCTCAATCCTTCGAGTAATAAACTTGAGTATTCTTCCAAACTTTCTCCCTCTCTAAAGCCTCATTGGTTGTTAATTAGCTTCGTTGGTTCCAAGTTTGGCCAACTTTGTAGAAGTACTAAATGCAATACACGAGCTTGTGAAGACAACTCCGTGACGAGTGGTGTCAGATCAAAGGTAGAAGTAACAAAAGCAACGAGGAACAAGTGTTGTGGTCAGATAAGAGACCCGAGGACAAGACTCATCATGAAGCTCCCAATACTCGAGGCAAGAGTCATGGTTTGTCAAAGGAGTTCATGACTAACTTGGAATCTAGAGTCAACTTCAACGGGGAGTAGAAGGACTCCAACCATGAGCTAGAATAAGCTTAAACGTCATGTTGTGCAAGAACTTGCAACTCCTCACAATAGCTGAGTAACTAGTGGACCTCAAAGAAACCTTTAAAACCAAGGAAAGTAAGGGATACAAATGGAAGAAGTGGGGGAGAGAGACCCACTCACACTAGAAATGATGATACTCAAAAGACTCCTACTAAAAATGGAAGATGAGGGACTTCAATGAGACGTCCAAACCAGTAAAATGTTTCTCGTGTGACAGGAGATTAGATAATGGAATGGCCAAAGATGGCGGGTTTCCATGCCATGGAAGCACGAATTGAAAAAGGTGGGAGAAAAGGAGTGCACATGGGTTCCTTTATGAGTACTCGATGTCGTTATGGCAAAGACGAAAGCATCAAAAGTGACAACAATGGGACTACAATTCGTGGAGACCAAGGTCAATGGATCAATGGTAAAAGCTCTTGTTGACTCTTATGCAGCTCATAATTTCATAAGTGAAAATGAGGTCAGGAAATTTGGACTCCAAGTAGCAAAAGGAAAGGGTTCCATGAAAGCGGTAAACACGAAAGTCAAACCCATCTTTAGTGTTGCAAAAGACATAAGAGTGTAGAAAAATGGAAGACGAGGGATTTCAAGGAGACGTCCAAGCTAGTAAAATGTTTCTATTGTGACAAGCAACCCCGGATAATGGAATGTCCAAAGGTAACGGATTTCCATGCCACACGGAAGCTAGATTTGAAGAAGGTGAGAGAAAAAGAGCATATATCGGTTTCTTTATGAGTGATCAATGTTGTTAAAGCAAAGGTGGGAGCATCAAAAGTGACAACTGTAGAACTACAATTCATAGAGGCCAAAGTAAATGGATCAACGGTACAAGCTCTTGTGGACGCCTATACAACTCATAATTTCATAAGTGAAGATAAGGTCCAAAGATTTGGAATCTAAGTAGCAAAAGAAAAGGTTCCATGAAAGACATAAACTCAACAGCCAAACTCATCTTAGGAGTTACAAGAGACATAAGATTGAAAAATGGTGAACGGGAAGGTACGATAAACTTTTTGGTGATTTTGATGGATGATTTCAAGCTTTTACTAGGGTTGGAGTTCTAACATGGTAAAAGCTTTTCCCAATGCATTTTGCTAACTTTGGATGATTTCGAACTACTTTGATAGGCACGACTCTTATTTAAGTTGTAGGAGTTTCATGAGAGTCGTGTCTTGTCCTCGGTCTCTTCTCCAACCACAACTCTCTTCTCCTCATTGTCCGCCATGAGCGAGTAGTAAACGAGGCTCCTCCCCATGGCCATGATCGAATCACATGAATGAACAAGATTACATCTCTAGGGGACTATATTTAGATATTCACTTGTACTCTAGAATACATGAAACTCTATAAGGGTACAGGGGATTCTAGAATAGTCTACCATCATTTAGATTATTGAGCCGGATATCGTGGAACCTTTATGCGGGTGGTCACACATGGCTCCTTTAATGTTGGTACCATGTTGGAGGCCATGTCTTGTGACTACCATAACTTCAAATTGACTTTTGGATGTCTAACCTAGTACATCAAAGAACAAAAAATATTACATTTGAAAACCATGTTTCTACTTATAGTGTTTTTTTTGTGAGTAAATAAATTGATTTGAACTATGAAAGTTGATGCCTGGTCTTTTCACTTTCGAAAATCTAAGCAGGACTTGTTTATAAGTTAGGAAGATGATGTACTATAACGCACTAAATAGACACCACAATGAATTCCTAACAAGAAGTCATGAAAACACCAAGGTTGAAACACACATTTCTACCACGAGCTGACAACATTTTTGTAAGCTAAAAAACACTTGATAGCAAAAACTATCAAGGGGAGAAAGAATTAGGCATTTATGAATTTTCTTTTTTTAAGTAGAATGTTCAGTTAACTTCCTTATCAATTGTTATACACCATTATTTTTTGAACAATAATAAAGTGGACATCAGAAATACACCCTATTAGAAATGGAATGGAATTTTGGATACTCCCTTGGTTACAGAAAATAGAGAAATTATAACTTTTAGGCTCAGCCACGTCATTTCATATTCAAAACAAACGTAGATATCAAACTTTCTTTAAAACGTTTGAAGAGTTTATATCAGTTTTGGAGTTGAAAATTAGTTTGTTTGACCTCAAAATCATGTTATGCTTCTTTTCAGGACATACGTATCATCATATCTAAATGAATCTTTAGGATTGTAATACTATGTTCAACAACACCATAGATATTTTACTTGAAAAATTCTAGGTATGCAGTTCCTCAATTTCCCATGATGAAGCCGTGAACCCTTAAGAATCTGACCAAACTGTATTGTGAAAAAGAAAAATGAAACTTAAACTTTAAATATCCAAATAAGAACTTACTCAGGTGCATGATAACCAAAGGTACCAAGAACACGGGTGGAATGAAGGCGCGCTGCCATGTCAGGTGCTTGATTTGACAAATCAAAATCAGCAATCTTAGCAACATCATCATCAAAAAGCAGAACATTACTGGACTTAATATCACGATGGATAATATGAGGCTGCGCCTTTTCATGCAAGTATTCAAGTCCTTTTGCAGCCCCAACAGCGATCTTAACTCTTTGAGACCATGATAGAACTGGACCGGGCTGTGCACCTTTAACGCCTTTTCTTCCTGCATCCATTAAATGAAATATTTAGTATTTCCTATAAACCGGCTAAAACTGCATGACCACAAGGTGATAAGTAACAAAACAGATAAATCAGACAAAATAACTTGACAAACAAACATCATCAAAGTATTTAAATCCATGCAAGGATAAGTTATCAAGCTTCTGATGATCAAAATCTATTGGGATGTCATATCCAATAAACATATGCAGCAAGGAGAGAAATGCTGAGAAAATGGGACAGCACAGAAAACTGGAAATGGAAAAGAGGAGACATTGCAAAAGCAAGTGAAGGAGTTGTACGGCGGAAACATGAAAAGAAGACGAATGTGTACAAACAAAAAAGTAGAGAGAGAGATGAGAGAAACAGAAAACAAAACGTCAAAACACTAATTATATAAAAAGCTGGAGCGTGAATATATTTATGCTTCTAAAACTATACATAATTAGATATATATAAGATGCCAAGGGACTGATAAACGGATATCTGTCAATAAGCAACAAAATCTGACAAAACTTTCTCTTAGAACAGAAGAGACCATGTCATGCTGACTTCTGACTATCGACATCTGAAATGTTTATTGTGCTGAAAACCTGAAAGTATCAGAATAGATTCACATGCCATTACAGTAAGAAAGACACTTACAGTAAAATGTCTCTCTCAAAGGTGTTCCTAGTTTTCAGGTTCTAATATATATTAACTTCATAAATAACACAAAGAAGACTTAAGATATCAACTCAAAAATAAAACCATTTGGTGTTTAAGACATCCATACATTTACGGCAAATATATCAGAGCTTAGATCGTGCAGTATCTAAAACACTTGCCGTGCAGAATATCATGAAGAGACCCATTTGAAGCATATTCATAGGCCAGCACTCTTAGACCACCATCAACGCAATACCCGAGTAGCCCGACGACGTTATCATGTTTAAGCCTCGATACCATAGAAACCTGTCATGATAGGCTAAAACCATTAGGAACCCAAAACTTAAAGTTTACCATCTAACGTAGTCCCTCCATCCATGAAAATCACAACACTTGCCTTTTTGGGAGGTCCCAAGAAAATTGCAACAATCTTTTTGGCAAGTTTTTAACCTAAAGTTACTCAATTGTCCATTCTCATCATTACAATTTAGGACCACACAAGATCTCATTACTTTGTCATTATTGAAGGGTATTTATGACATAATTAACGGTCAACTGAGCAGTTTTCATGGAACAAATGGAAAGTAAGAAAGAAGCCCAACCTGTGCTAAGAATTCTTGGTCTGGTTGCTTACTGGAGTCAAGCTTTTTGATAGCTGCTGCTTGCCCACTTCTCAAGACACCATGGTAAACTCGTCCATATGATCCTTCACCAATCAAGGACTTTGTACCAAAGTTATCTGTAATTTCTTTTAACTCGTCCACTTGAAGAGCAGGGACAGCAATAGGTTGGATAGCTACGGCCTGTGTGTCCTTTGGTGCAGCCTCTGTGGCACGATAACCTGCATTATGCCCTGAAGCCATAATTTCTCCTTAATGAATGTCTGTTTGTAAAATTATAAATGAGTGATCTCAAACTTTTGCTTTTTATTGCAAAGTAACCACAACTCTTGCGAACATGCAAACAAAAACGCACACACTTCGCAAGTGAGTGATTTTGGCCAAACGGCGCCATATGTCATTTCTTTGTGCATTTACATTCACTCAATCTGTCCAGAGTAGCTCATACTTTAAACTACGATGTTTTTTTGGCAGTTTGCAAAAAGAAGGATGGTTAGCTAACAACAGAGAGCTACATATGATGGTTTAAAAGGTGTCAATAACTTGAGTTAACTTTGGAGGTCAAACATTGGTTTTTAGTAGTATATTGATGAATGTAGTTATTAACTTATTCTCAATAATTTATAAATAATGTACAAGCTTTGACCGTTTAAAGTTTAATAGTAATTCTTTACTAAATGAAATAAAGTTAATCATCCATACTGAAGCTATGGTTCATTACGGATATGAATGGCATTCCTAAGTGAATGCTACCTTCCCTAACTGCCAAAAGAAAATGAGAATTACTATAATGCAACCATGTGAAGCAATTTACCAACAAGTGACATGCTTGAAACAAAAGTTCCATAAACTTGGAACAGAAAAGCAATATATCATGCTCAAATCAGACATAACCAAAAATTTCATGGTGATCATGCACTACACACAAGCTACAGTTTGTGATAAAGAATCACCTGCTGCATTATTTGCCATGAATGGTCCATTATCATAAGACTTGTGCATATCATCTTCTCCACAGCAGTTGAAGCAGCTCATAATCGCTTGCCCTTACTGACACCTCTGGACAAGTTGCAAGGTTGCGTTAGACAAAAGCTTGCAAATCATATCTTCATTCATAAGGAATTCTTCTGGCAGAATAACTTTTCAGTAGTTCCTCAAGAAGGAAAATGGGACTTAATTCACACAATTCTGAACAATGCCTTCTAGGACATCAAAATCACCTCATACACAATATATTCAAGTTAACACGTTTGATGGGTGCAAACCATTTAGTCTTGTAGATCTAAACAAGTAGGTATGTAACTTATCCCCTCATTCACAAGTGAATACAAGATATCTTTAGTTGCTTTGAGGACGAAACTGAAAATAAACAAATAGAGTAAAGAAACTGCATACTTGTATACAATATACCATTAAAGGGAACAACTTCAGAACAGAAATTACAGAAAATCTAGTTGATGATAGTCTTGACATCAAAAGGAAAGTCTAAAATCCAAGGGTTTGTGACTGGGAGCCATCTTTCACCTCTACTGTTCTTTTGTTTGTTCAATTCTACAGAACAAAGCATAATATATAGCAATCTAACCAGTGCAGAATCAAGAACACCAAAAATTCATCAAAAAACATGCTTTTTTTTGCCAAATAACATAGTTGACTAATTATTGCTACAAATTTGACTCGATCTACTTAGAAACTAGTAGGATCAATACCCACCCCCATCAAGAAAGATCCCAATCTAAGAAATCAACTAGAACCACAATCAACAAAATCCAAGTTCACAATTGGAAGATCTGATCAGTTGTAGAAATTTAAAGGGTTTCATCAGAATCAAAGAGACATAAGAAATTGTTGGAGGAAAAGACAGAAAACCCACCTAGGATCTTTTGTAGTTGGGACTGGAATCAAGATTGAGGGAAACAAAAGAAGGGAACTTTAGCAAACAGAAGCAAATAATTGGCGTAGATCAGAAGACGGCTAAGGTGCACCGGATGAGGGAAAAGCGCGTAGGTTAGAAGAAGAAGAATAGGAGGAGGAAGGCAAATATCAGAGTTTGTTTTTTTTTCTCTCTTTTTCTTTTTCTTTTGTTTTATGGCTGCTTCTGCTTGTTATCTTTTGTCGCCACTTGAAACTCTTTGGCACATTCCTTCAAAGGAGGTTTTTGGAATTAGCATTTCAAAAACGGTTGATTTATTTCGATATGATATTGATAATAAGCATTTTTGAGTGTTTGGATAAATAATTTATGCCGTGTCAAACCGATAATAAGTAGTTTTTAAAGAAGTTAAACTCTTCTGATTTATAGATGGTGTTTGGGATTGCTTATAAAAACAACTTATTGACTTATTTCGGTATGATACCGGTAATAAGCACTTTTGAATGTTTGGATAAACAACTTATACCGGTGTCAAACTGGTAATAAGAAGTTTTTGTAAAAGTTAAAACCATTATAACTTATAATAAGTTGATAAACACTCTTGTATAAAAATATAAGTTGTTTCAAATAAGCAATCTCAAACACCTCTATAATAAGTTGATAAGTGTTTTTATAGAATAACATAAATTGTTTCAAATAAACAATCCCAAACACCCTTTAAAAATACAATTAATTGCATTTTTTTTACATATGTTATTGTTTAGATACCTTCAATATTCCAATTGGCCAACATGTATTAATGACAAAATGATTAAATTATTTATGATAATATTGAAATAAATGAAAATAGCTTAAAATTAGAACGAGAAACGGTCAATGAATGAATTAAGGTCAACTTTAAAAAGTCGTTATAAATATCGGGTCAATTGATTTTCTTAGAAACATGTGACATGGTCAATTTTTTACCCCCAACTCTTGTTACTATTTGTGGTATTTTAAAAAGGGTAAATAAATAAATATGAAAAAAAATAAAATAAAATTGGTTTTTATTTTTATGGTAAAAAAATGTGAAAAAAAATGAGGAAAGGGAGTCAATCGTATCATTAATTGAAAGTGAGAAGTGAAAAAAGAGAGTTTATGTTCAATCGGATAAAAAATGAAAGAAAATTTTTGATTGAGAGTGAAAAATGTAAATTTGGCCTGAGCATTGAAACCAGGAGGTCGAATGTAACTTCTTGATAGTTAAATGGATGCATTAGATGTTAACAGGTCCAAACCAGAAGGACTTGTTTTATAAATATGTCAGATTCTGAAATTTGAAAGGGATGGAACGATGTCGAGCTTTGAGACCTCTTATTGGCTCATTTATTCAACCAATAAGCCAAAAAAATACAGAGTTAAATAGCCAATGTCCTCCACTACATTTTTGGTTCAAGAAGATCAGTATTTCGTAGAGTTTTGAGAGAGAAATCGATGGTTGAAGTTTGAGTTTGAAAAACTCCGTTTATTGATGATTGGAAGTAAAATACTCAACCAAATTTTGAGTTTTTTATACGGTTAGTTTTGTTTTTAGGTCCTCTATGGAACCTTAGTAGTTTTATGTCTCATATTTTTAGTTTTGGAGGTCCGATTTTGCATTTTTTTTTTACTGAATTTTTAGTGGATTTGAGACCTAAACTTTAAATGAGTAAATCAGACTCAATACTTGACGATTTTCGTTGATTCTTATTCCTATGGTTGAGGCAAATCATTTTCTAGAGTTTCAGCAAAAAGAATCAGCGAAAACGGTCAAAAGACGAGGTCAAACGGGCTGAAAAAGTCGTTGTCGGCGGCAGCACTCGCTTCGGGTTATAAACCCGAACTCGGGTCGGATCTAGTGCAGTTTCCGGTCGGGCTTGGGTCCAGATCCGATGTATCTTTGGCCAACCACTGTTGGGCTTTAGTTTTGTTATGGGCCATCACGTTTTATTAGATAGGAGTCTATATTCTTGTTAGGTATTTATTTAAAGTTTTGGACTAAATGTTTTTCCAAATTAATTAGAATGATCCATTTTAATTGGTTATTTAGTTGGACTTCCAATTATTAAGTTTGAGCCTGAGTTAATTAATTATTTTCATACTACATTAAGATACAATTATGTTAATTAATTAACTTAGCTTATAAATTAATTAATACTAGTTGTGTACCCGTGCAATGCGGCAGGAGCCATGAATTTTAACGATTTTGAGGTTCCACTGATTTTATAAGATAAGATTTAACGATGATATAGGTTACACTTGGTCTTTACATATTAATACAATTTGAATAAATAAGAGTTATGGTTCCAATTACAGACTATTGATGAAAAAAATTGTATGACAGTTAAAATCCAATATATTTAAAATCCAACATATTTAAATGACTCCACAAATGTGTTCGATTTACACCAAGAGCAAAGAACCAAAAAACTTGAGTTTTAAGATAAACACTCAAAACCAATAAAAAAATACAAATTTGACAGATCATAAGCCATGAAAAGACAAAAAAAGATGGAGTTTAGAATTAAATTTCAACTGCTTACCC